TTAGCCTTCAACAATAGAGTGGCCCATGGGGAGCAACTCTGACTGCCTCCAAACCTCCCACAATCCCTCTAAGGGAAAAAAGTGCCAGGGGAGGGAATTCTCAATGATGGGCCCTGCCCTGGCACCGACCACCAGCGACCAAGACCACAAGTTGTTGTGGTCTTGTCATGGTCTAAGAAGTACCACCCCCCGCCCCTCCATGCGGCCAAAGCCCACCAGAACATCTGGCGAGATGGTGCCAGATGGCAGACTCACCTTGGTGCCTGTGAGGAAGTTCAACTTTCTGATGATCTCCTTTAAGGGCAGGCCACATGTGTGGACAGGGACCAGGCTGCTAGCGCACACGAGTAAGCAAAGCAGGGCTGGAATCAGCGGGGGGGTGAGACCCATGGATAGAGCTGTCTTTGCAGTGACAATGTGAGGCAGGGAGTTTGCCAGGAGAAGCTAACAATGCAATTCTGACCAAGATTTCTATCTATATAGGCTTAAAATTGCTGAAACCAAGGGAAAATGAGTTTACGTTGGAAATTTAAATTACACCAGATTTTCAGTCGCTCAGGGCCAATCAGAGCCTCTCTTCCAGGAGAAAGACTACCTCACAGAAAACAGGTAAAACGCTCCGGTGAAATCAGACCAATAGGAAAATGAAACCTGGTGTTTTTTTGTGTGTGTGTTTTTTTTAATTAACTACAAAGTTTCGGCATAGGAAATTACACCATAATTTGCTCTTCAGATTAATCTTATCAGCTCGGGGTGGAGGCTGACTTTTTATTTTACGTAGAAGGAAGAGGATACAGTTGTCCGAACGAAGCTGCCTTTGCGGGATCTTCCTGGGGAAAGATAGAGTCATATCAAGAGCGATTGACAGGGCTGGAATTTCAACTGGGCCTCTTGCAAGTCTGAGCCCCATCTAGGAAGCCACCCTGCCGTGGAAAGCCCACTGGGGACAGGGAGGGACGTCTGGGCTCCACAGGCCGTGTTTGCCTCCAGGTTTAGGGCTTTGGGGCAAGAGGTGCGATGGGGCGGCGGTGGGGTGGGATGGGGTGGGTCATATCAGGTCCAGAAGCCCTTTAGCCATAAGAAGGCCCTGGGCAGAAGGTGCCCATCTCAGATTTTCGCTTTTACGGCCCCGTTCAACTGAAGCATCCTCAGCGAGGTGGGAGAAAGCGGCCCAGCGTTGTTGGTCAGGGGTCCGTCCATCAGCAGCGGTCTCTACTTGTGTGAACGTGGACAGGCGCTCCTCGCCTTACCCAAATGTCAGGAGCAGGGTCCTGGTGGCACCCACTGAGATGCCTCGGCCCCTGTGTGGTGACCCCATCTCTGTCGGGCCACTCCCCACCACCTGAAGAACAGGGCTCCACGGGGGGCGGGATTCCTGTGTCCCCGAACACACAGGCATCTTGCATCCACGCCAATTCCCTTTCCTTGTTCCCTGGCTGACTTCCTAGTCTTTTCTTCTGGAAGATGACTTACAAATGTTTGTGTCTAGGGCTGTGTCCGAGGGTAGAAAGCAGGAGTGAACCGCGAGGACCATAAGCACACTGACGAATGCAGCTGCCTAGGTTGGCGGGGGCATTCTGGGAGGTGAGGCACACCTCTCAAAGCCTTCGGAGTTTGAGGGCGCGCGGGAGGGGAGGCAGGGGAAGGGGCTCAGATCGGACCAGACTTGAGAGACTTAGAGACACAGCCCTCCATGCAGACACCCAGCGGCAAGCTCCGACCCTGGTGGTCTTCGCTTTTGACCAGCCGACCGCACAGTTGGGGGTTCCCCACAAGCACCCCCAGGCCCATTAGAACCACAGGAAAGCACCCTACTGATAATCCGTTTTATTACAGGAAAAGGATACGGATCAGAACCAGCTGAAGAGAGGGGCTGCGCATAAGGCAGGGTCTGAGAAGGGGCCAGTCTTGAAGCTCTGTTGTCCTCAGAACAGGCTGCCTCCTGGCACATTAATGTGGGGCCATACGCAGGATATTGCCAACCCTGGAAGCTCAAGCCGGCGTCGGTGTCTGGGGTTTTTTCCTGGCTTCCATTACGTAGGTGTGAATGATAGGATCAGGGGCACTGGTTGAACGCAGTCTCCGGCCCTGAG